CCAGAACCTGGGTCCTGACCAAGGGTCCTGACCGAGGACCCTGTCCCTGGCTTTGGACGCTGTGGCCCATGGCAGGGACTCGGAGGTCGGGCCACATCACAGGTGGGTTGTCCTGACCTGTCTTAACTCGCCTCCTGGTGACGGGCTCAGAGCAGAACCAGAACGTTCCTGGCACCTTTCCCCTCCCAGCGGCTCGGGCCTTTCCCTCTCAGCTCAGACTTCCTCCCTGAATTATTTTTCTCAGTCCAGCCTCACTTCCTCTTGCACCTGCCAACCAGGCCCTGGGGGAACGGAGATAAGGAAAGGGGAGGGATAATGTTGAGCCTACTCCCAGCCTCGCCCGTCCATCCGCCCCGTTGACCCACCTGGAGGCGAATGTTCCCTCTTTGTTTGCCTGCCTCTCTGCTCCCCACCCCTCTCCTTTCTAACACGTTCCAGTGTTTTCACCAGGACTGGTTGCTCGACAAAATAAACTCCTGATGTGGAAAGTTCAGCTGGACAGAACGCCAGTCACAGGGGCCTGTTTGCTTAGCAACAAAAAAGTGTTAGCCGGTCCCCCCTCCCCTCTCCCCTTTCCTGCCCTCGCTGAGCGCCTGCTGCCTGCGTCACAGTCCTGATGAAGGCCCTTCCTATGCTTCTCCCCCTCTCTCTCTGCCGTCCCCCCCACCCCCAGACCGCTGTCTCCCCGTCGTTCTGTTTCAGGTTCTCTGTGTTTCTCTTGGCTTCTCTGGCTTTTTCAGCCCCCTGTCTGTCTGTCTGGAGCTGTCTGACTTCCTCTCCTCTCCCTCCACGGAGGAGCAGTCAGTTTTGCAGGTTTTCCAGGCATCCGTTGAGCACCATGGGTGTGCTGAGCCCTGGTCAGCAGTGACTCCAACTTGACCCTTTCCCTCGGGGCAGAGGAGTGAGCCAGCTGGTGCACTAGGGTGTCTGGCAGTTCGCGAGGAATTATGGGAGAGAGGCATTTTGATGGTGTGGTTAGGATGTGGAGGAAGCCCCGCACGGCACGGGGCTAAGAAGCTTGTTTGTCCTTGTTGATAAGGAGTGGCTGAGGTTTCTGAGCCAGCGCTCTGCTGGACTGAGGGCAGGGTTGCCAGTATGGCATGGATTGGAAAAGGTCAGCCTGGAGGTGGGCAGGACAACCAGGGAACTGGGGCAGTAGGCCAAGCAGGAGGCGGGGTGCTGGCTGGAGGGGCTGTGTGCCCGAGGTCATGTGCGGTGATAGACTGCAGACAGGTGGGACGGGGACAGGTGGGCTGGGGAGGCCGTTAGAGAAAGCTCTTGTGCAAGTCTGAGTTCTGGATCACCTCAGCAAGTGCCATGGAGGTCAGTGGCTGGTTTCAAGGGGAACTGTACCAAGTCTTAAACACCAAGTCTACCCACGCCCTCTGGGTGAGGGATGCATGCTTTCCTGCAGCTGAGAATAGACACCAGCTGCCTTTGCCAGTTGCATTCCCTACTTCTTCCAGTAGAGGGCCCCCTCACTCATTCTCAGTCCCGTGGGTGGCCATGTGACCCAGGTCTAGGTCCCTCCCCCTAGTGACAGCAGTTGGTTCCAGGGTGATCACATGACCAGACGTGGCCCAATGAGAGTCAGCCCTGGGATTTTTTGCGGGAACTGTTGGGAAAGAGTTCTGCTGGAGTGTTAAATGGAGCTCCTGGGGCCCCCGTTGCTCCAAGGTGGGGAGAAGCCTGCCTGAACATGAAGCCAACATGGGAGAGAGTTGAAAGATGGTGAGTGTGAGCTTCCTGGGAGTAGCATTGGAGCACTTGGTCCCAGCCGCCCTGAGCCAGCCCTTCTCCTGAAGTTTCCAATTTTGTGAGCCAGTGCATGCCCTTGATAGTTTAGATCAGTTTTCAGTGGGTCTTTCCCACATGAACCCACACACGGGGTGTCCTCTGGACAAATCCAGGAGGAGTGGTTGCTGAGATGGTAGCTCTGACTCCTAACTGGGAGTGTTCCTCTCCCCCTCCAAACGGCTCCTCTTTCCATGTTCCCATGTGACAAGGACTTGGACATTTCACAGCTGGCACCAGGAGCTAAACTGAGGATAACATGGGCCCGTGTGGGAGTTCTGAAGCAGCCTCTTCTAGAAGCCTCAGAGCTGCAGCACTTTAGAGCTGTGTGCCCTCAGGTAAGTATTTTTACGTCTCTGGGCCGCAGTCCCCTCATCTGGAAAATGGGGAGAATGACAGTGCCTCCTCGGGTTGTTGTGAGGATCAAATGAA